TTCATTATCATTAAGTCATATTATTTAAATTATTCATATATTATAACATCTATATCAATTATTCATATTTACAATGTGATCGTTTAGAAGCTTGGTCAATAATATTCGGACAAAGTTTTCGTCATTCCAGAAAGAAAAAAACGAGTGCAGGGAGGAAAAGTAAAGACGTTCAAACGACTGAAGTATCACAGGATTTCACAAACAGTCTGTAAAATCTCTAGGCCACCTCTTTTTTTTTCTTTTCAAAATTGCCATCTCGGTGCGCCAGGAAACACAGTGTATGGCAGCTTGTTACACGCATATTGCTGTCATTCTTACAAGGTACACACATGTTATATTTAATTTTACCACATCTTGCTGTTGGTCGGGAAAACCAGGGGGAACGTAATTATAGCATTTCCCCCCTTATTCTTTTAACTCACAGTTCCATCCTAAAACTTTTTTTTTTCTTTCCGTGTGGCAAAGTGTAAATATGATGTCAGAGGCCCAGTGAGCAAATGAACTTGAGATCGTTATCGTGAGATTGCGTGTCCAGGGGTTTAACAAGGCTCAGCTCGGTCAGAAGTTGTGTCCTTGGGGAAGGTGTTATTAATAAATAGTTTCCTATACAGCTTGGTCCCATCGGAAATGGACATTAACTCTATCCGTACGTCGTGTTTTACTATTGTATCCATATGACGAGGGGAATTCCGGGCCATCACTTTCCAAAGAGGAAATTTACTCGTTCATTCCGATCAGTACGCTTTGCATAGCAGTCTGTCAAATGATTTTTTCAGAAATACTGAAAGTTACACAGAGATCTTCGTACTATGTAAAAGTATTCTAAAATGCAAAGAAAACAAAACCAGGGGTACAAAATGATCCCAGGGTGTATGGATAGGGTTAAACTAGCAGGTCCCGGCTCCTGAATAACTGGACCATGTCGGAAGAGGAGTTAAACCTTTTTTCTATACCTTTTCGCACGGTTTAAATCTTTAAAATGCTTCCACACCTGTCCTAATTGACAGTCAGGACCAACTCGGACTGAGAGTGACAAAAAGTCTCTGCCAACTGACGGAAGGAGTCGGCATAAAGAAAACCCCACTCCGCTAGGAAACCAAACTCATGTCTCTCGTGAGTGACGAAGAAAGGCCTAACCGCTACACTACAGACGCTGGTAGGTAATGAGAAATGATTGTTACAAAAAAATTTTATATAAAAATTACAAATAAAAATATTGACGAAATTAAGGGACTGGGACCCAGTCAATTGAAGGTCTTGAAAAGAATGTTCGCGACAAGAAATAAAAGACACCACGACGACGTCGAGGATGATGATGATGATGATGATGATGATGATGATGATGATGATGAAGATGATGATGATGATGATGATAATGATGATGATGGCGATGACGATGACAATACTGATGACGATTATTCCAACTTTAAGGAAAACGCTTGATCATC